TAAGTGTTCTGAGACCGGAGAGTGGAATGAGGCCTTACCCACATGCAAAAGTATGAATTTTTTAGTTGTAGGTTGTTTTTTTTTATTGATGATAAGTTCCCAGTCAGTAGTACGTTATCGCTAAAGTAGGATCTTTTCTTTGATATCTCATGTCACACTCTTCTTTCCAACAGTCGTGAGATGCAAGCCGCTCAAGGATCTTGAAAACGGCAACGTCACCTGCTCAAACAGCGAGACCATTTTCAACACTCAGTGTTATTTCACATGCAATCAAGATTATTTACTAGATGGACATAAACTGGTGAACTGTGATCATACTGGAAGCTGGTCTGGAAAGAAACCTACATGCCAAGGTAAAAGATGCAAACAAATACATGACAAATGAAAGAATGATTTCGTACATAGCAGTTTCATGTCTAAAATACAAATTTCCCAATCTTTCCACAGCTCCTCCGTCTTCTTCTACTGCCATTACCACCGGAGTGACAGCAAGTGCTACTGCCTTGGCCTCTGGTTTGTCTATGACCATGTGGATTTTAAAACGACTACGAAAGAAATCATCCAACTTTGAGTTGATAAGGTATGTGAAATTATACATTTTCTATGTTAAAAATTCACCTTTTAATTCTTGGTAAAAATGTGGTGCTCATCTTCTTCTGTTTCTTGTTTTTGTTACAGCAACTCAGACATAGAGACACCTCCAGAGGTCTACAAAAACAGTACAGACAGCTTGGTATAGAAAAAAGGACTCAAAATAAAGAGCTCTTTTCTGTAGCATGAATGCAAGGTTAATGTGTACAATGTATGTGAAATTCAAAATGTGTTTAAATTGCTTTTGCCAAATGTAACAAAAAAAAGTGATTGCTTTAGGGTTTTTTTCAATGTATATTACCTCCCAGTGGGAGTTGTCTTTGGGACATATTGTTCTACACTTCATGAATATGCTGGTAATTTAAAATGTTTTATAATGTCTCTAGTTATGTCTCTGAATTTCTGTGAAGAACATTTTTGATAAATGTGGTTATCACCTATTTATTTAAGATACAGCTGCGTTAACTTTACAATAACAAAACAGTCAGTGAATTAGATGTATACTTCTGTACATGTCAGAGCAAGTTTTTATATGCATATAAAGCAAATAAAGATAACTGAATAAAAAGCAGAAGGTGTCATTCAGTTTAGTTTTTAGTAATGGTGTCTTGACCTAAACATGGGCCATTTGTGTTTCTACAAAAGGACAAAGGTTCAAACAACAAGGTTTTAATGGTCAGTCATCAGTTTTTTAACAATACCTTTCCCACACTACCAACTGGGAAATTTTCCCTGACACTGCACAACAATGTTTTTTCAGATGCCCAAGAGGAACCTTTTCTTCAGAAAAAGCCCACGCTGCTTGTCTGCCTTTTCCACTTGACTGATTGCATGGGTTAAAACAGAGCAAGGAAAATGCAAGAGCAACAAGATTTCTGCAATGAAAAAATATGTGTATTCAAAAGGTGGACAGCAATTGAGCATTGTACTTCAGTACATTTTTTTTATATTTGTACATTTCATGAGTCAAATGAGTCAAAAACATTTCTCAAAACCCTGTTATACACAATCAGACATACCTGATGACATCAGGCAGAAGACCACAAGCCAATCATTTTGACTTATCAACAAGATACGTAATCCAACCTGACTGAGGTGGTCTGTAGGGGCCTTTTTAAGGTTCATAGACCGGAGTGTGATTGAGTGTGATTGAGGACTAAAGTGTGATTGAAAACTGAAAGAATAATTAACTATAAATAAACTTGTAAAACATCTTTGAGTGTTTGGAGAAGTGCTTTATAAGGCTGATGTATTTATATTTGTTATTCTTCTTCATATCATTGTTATTGTTATTCTATTTTTTAAGATTGAACATATTGAAATACATAAGTATTTTCTAAAGCAAATACTCCAGTATCTGATAATATCTTTTACAGTATCATCAGTATTATTGTTGTCATGGATGTCAACACTTTTGTGGGACCCGATTAAGATCTTACATTAGACTAAATATGAAATGCCCTTCCTATTTCTTTGGAAAATATTTTTCCCCGGTCATACTGATCCCCGAAAAGCATATTGTCACTGCGGAAAATCCATCCATCCATCCATCCATTATCAATGCCGCTTATTCCCTCATGGGGTCGCGGGGACTGCGGAAAATCAAAATAAAGAATCTTGAATGCAAAGGCAAGGTGACAAAAATCACTCTTTATAGCGAAGAACCAACATTAAAATAGCTCCTAAGAAAGAAGCTCTAAGGAAAAACTCAAAATCAGCCTTTCGTGGTACTTATTAAATTCGATAACATGGCATAAAAACAGTATGTTATATAAAAACCTGACAAGACATGGAGCCTGACATAAAAAGGTGAATGTTGTCTGACACTGGGCCAAGACAAACTGCACAGAACAATGGCACAATGTTTGCCATCTACACTCACACAAAATGGGGTAAAGGTGAAACACATCAGGTCAAACTCAGTTAGTCAAACTTAACGGTGAGACACCAGAGGAAGGCTTCGTAACCTCAAACGAAAGGGAAGTCATATATCAAAATAAAGCAGGAAGTTGTGAGACAACATCAACACAAGACAGAAAAAACCTAAGAAGACCTTGTAGCTAAAGATAGAATATTCTTTTCACTATTTTGTGTTATGTTTGTTCTGATTATAGAGAACGAAAAGGAAGCCAAAAACATGCTCCCAAATTAGTTTTATTAACATTTATAACTATCATTTTCACAGTAGACAGTAATTAATTGGAAGTATAACATGGTGCAAATTGCGAAGCTTTATATTAAGGTATGAACTAACCAAGCAATTTAGGTTGGTTCATACCTGAACCCCTAAATCTTCTACTTGCAATTTGCACTTCACTCCTTCTAGTAGCTGCAAAACAGTTCAAATATTGCACCCATGCGAAGACAGAGAGTTTCATGTTGACATTTCTTCTGTTTGTAGTATTAGTAACATATATCAGTTAAATTGAACACGTGGGTCACTAGCTAACATTGGACATGAAATGTATGACACATTAGGATGTCTTGTTTTTTCTTTTTAATTGGCTTGCTTCTTAACTGAGACTACTGTCCAGAATACTTAAAGGAAACACTGATCTGGAATAAGGCCCAACTGTCAACAAAAACATTGAAAAACTCTCTCTTTTTTAATTTGACAGTAGCATATTCAAGGGATTTTTTGTCGTCATTCCAGCTCACATTTACATGTTTGTGGTCTGAAACTTGCACCTAGGTGGTTTTGCTTTATAACCTATTATTTTCAAAGTAATGAAAACATTTCCTCAAAACTTGAAAGAAATCTTCTAATGTTCTTAAGTTAGTCTCATGTCAACTCCTGCTTATCTTTCCACACAATTTTTTAATTCTCATTCACATTGCTGCATCACAACAGAGGTTCAACCACAGTATTCAATTCTGTCAACTCGGAAACACCAAACTGTTCCCATCTGAGCTTTTCTGTTTTCCTTGACGCTGCAAATCGGTGTACGATTTTGGGGGTCAAAGGAAACCTTTTTCAAAAATAGTTCATAGTTCTTGCCATTCTCTTTCACCCAAACATTACAAAGGTCAGGACAGAGCACATTGTGTGGACAAGAAAAAGTATGCAAGACATTCAAAAGTGCATCGCTGTGACTACTTGCAGGTCACAAACATTGTTTTTTCGTTAGGAAAGCTGGTGTCTTTTTTACTCAGCACTTTCATAGGGGAAGTAAAACATGTTATGTAGCACTGAATTTGTTTAACAGTCTTTAGTCCTTAAAAGCTGTTATGCAGTCTGAAAACTGAAATGATTTGAGAATTCTAATTGATAATAGCTACTTCCCAAAAACAGTGGAGGGTTAGGTTGGACATTTTCTGGAAGGACTGTCCATTGTTCGGGGTAAATTCACCCTCCCATCAGTGGAATTCCCCCAAAGGTTTGTTCCACTGAATCAACGTCTGAAATTGTTCATTGCAAATCATTCATCACGTCCATTCAGTTTTGAACATAAACATTCAGGTATTCTATGATAATGTTGGCCAAACCTACCAGAGGGAAGGTATAAAACTCTGACACGGATACCAACCTGAAATTAATTCATGTCAGACTGTTGTGATGTAATATTTAACTTACGGTACAACTTCTTTTTCTTAAAAGATAAATACATACGTGTAAATACAAGTAAAACGAGCAATATAGTCATAGCTGGTAAGTAAAACATTTGATTTTCATATATTTGTGGCTTGTCTTATATAATAACCATTGTGCCTGTTTATTCATGCAAAAGGACACCGATTTCTCACTGAATATGAAGTGGACTGTGATTTTTCTCCTTGGTGGGTATTACCGTGGCAAATGGAATTGTTGGATGATGATGAGCTGAGATGGAACATGCACAAATTTTGAACTTGTATATTTTTTTTATGTTATAGGTTGTTCTGTAACTGAGAGCTCTTTGGGGTGGTCATATCACTACTCAAAGGAAACCTTTAACTGGACAAGTGCTAGAAAATGGTGCCAAACTAACTTCACGGACATGGTGGTTTTCCGAAACCAGAGAGAGAATGACTACGTGGTATCTCTGCTGCCAAACAAAACCGGAACCCCATACTATTGGATCGGAATCACCAAAAACCACCCAAAAGATCCTTGGATGTGGGTTGGGGATAACAGCACATGGATTGGTGATAATTCGTGGGACCTGAATGAGCCCAACAACAATCACAGCACAGAGTTTTGTGTCGAGATCTACGTCAACACATCGCCAAAGCGGGGCAAGTGGAACGATGAGAAATGTTCCAATGGAAAATATGCAGTTTGTTATAAAGGTATGTAACACTCATCCGTTTAGGTGGTCATCCAGTTTTTTGTTCAGAAAAAATTGGTCAAAGGAGTTACGGCATTAAAAAAGGTTGGATTTTATTTTTCACACTTCTAGCTCAATGCGATGTGGCTACATGCCAAAAAGGAACATGCCAGGAGACCATAGGCAACACAACCTGCCTCTGTGATCCTGGATTTGAGGGTGACAGGTGCCAAACACGTGAGACGACTCTTAACACATTACAATCAGAATCAGTATAACATACTTTGTAAGGTATCAATGCCACATTTACCTCTCAAAATCAGTGATTTGTGAAAGAGTACCATATATCTTGGAGATATGCTCAAAAAGATGGCAAAGAACAAGACTGACCTAAATATCACTGCACAGACTAAATATATCAAGTCTAAAAAATAAAAGAAATGAAATAAAAATGGATCAGCTTGTTAATACTTTGAAAATGTAATACAACTTGATCTGAAAGCAATTGTGAGACATTAACTGTTTGTTTTCTTCAGCTATCAAATGTCCCGCTCCAAATCCATATGATGACTACCTTATCTGCTCAGAAGAAAAGTGGACATTCAACACTACTTGTCAGTTTAAATGCCATCTTCTCCTCGTTATTGGTTCGTCGCAAATGTCCTGTGGGGCTGATGGCAAGTGGACTGGCCCCAGACCTGTGTGGTGTGCAAGTAAATACATCGTGTTAAAATTTGAATGCAGTTTGAAATGATATTGACTGTTACAAGATTCAACCAATGCATGGCAATTTCACTCTGTATGACTTCAGATTAACAATTATTGTGGTTCATTTCCTCAGGCTACAAACAGGCTCTATTGGCTGTTGCTGGGTGTGGAGCTTTCTCTTCCTTCCTCTGCATCTGTTTCTGCTGTATAAAACACAGAAAAAGTGAGTATTTCTTAATAATGCTTCACATTCAAAAAGCTGATTGCCACATATCTGAACCGTTTGTGTGCTCTTTTCACACAGGAAAGAAAATTACCCAAGAGAGGTTAGTGCGGAGATGAAACATTTGTACGATATAACTCCACCCTTTTGTGCGAAGTATGGCATTTTTCAGATTTTAACAACGGTAAAAATAATAAATGATGGCAGTCTGCTTGTCTTTCACAGGCAGCCAGAAGATGCATGCTCATCCTGTGATGTTAATGGATGAGTGACAACCTACAAATAACCATTTCCCATTTTCTGTGCACATATACGCACTTATTTTAGTTGATGAGTAAAATTTTAACATGAACCGCTATTTTGATAGATTTTTTTTTTTTGCTTTGTCAGTTACAATGTATGATAAATGTCACATTAGTGTATGGATTTAAATTATGCTTGTGCATGTAAATTCTTGCCACACTGGAGTTTTATGACTGTACTTCTTTCCTGCATTACTGTAATTGAATTTCTGAATAAATTAAAAGGAATTTTACAAGAGTATGCGTGTTCAAGTAGTATTTGGTCAACTGAGTTGCACCCTTCCTCACAGGAAGTCATGGAAAAAGGAATATTACAAAACGCATGATTAACTCACTCGCCAGGGAGAAAGTTTTGCCATTTGAAATAGGGAACAAGCACAAAGAAGAAAATGACCTACTGAACACAGGGGAAATGGTAAGAACTGTAAATTATTAGCACGAGAAGTCCTCATTCAAATGGCTTCTGCTCACTTTGTGTTACATTTTTATATTTTCAGATGTCAGTTGATTTAAGAAATTTGCATCACTGGGTGCTGACAGGAGCACTTATTCTGTTTTCCAGAAGTAAGTCTGCTTGATCCAACTAAACTTCTGCATTCTGATAATGATAATAGCATAATCATTTAGGGATTATTATTACTAATCAATAATGAAAGCTATTGATGAATGCTAGTTGGTACACCAAAGATTTCAAGTACAGCTAAATTCGAGGAATCAGTTTTTGTATAATTGAAAACTATGATTGTGATGTTTTTTAAGCTTGATATGCACTGAAGATTAAAGGTCAAAGGTCTTAGCCTCTGCTTTGCCCATTTCCAGTCATAAATCAGTCCTTGGTATCTGATTCAGTAAAGTGGAAATGCAAAATTATATAAGGAATTTCTAGATCAAGGGAAAGCAAACCATATGCAATGCAAGTTAAAACTGTACTGATGATAACAACAGCAATATGAATTGTTAGAGTTATTCACATGTGTCCACTCTTAGACCCAAGCAGCAGAGGAATAACACAGGCGTGGATGTACAGCTACAGCCTAGGTCCAAACCAGCAATGGCATGAGGCCCGGCAGTGGTGCCAGAAGCACTTCACCGACATGGTGGCCATCCAGAACCAGGAGGAGGCCATGTTTCTCAACAGCCTGTTGCCATTTAACCCACAATATTACTGGATAGGCGTCTATAAGCAGGACGGAGAGTGGACCTGGGTGGAAACCAATACGAATATACCTATAGATTCGCAAAACTGGGCAACAGGGGAGCCAGATGACTCAGTGGACCAGGACTGTGTCGAGATTTACATCAAGAGGGCAGTAGACACTGTCAAGTGGAATAATGAAAAGTGTGAAAAACAAAAGGGAATCATCTGCTACAGTGGTAAAAAAACAACAACTTTTATTTGAGGAAACATCTGATTCTTTAAATCAATCACAGAATTAATCAAATTTAATGTGTTTATCTTCAGCATCTTGCACACAGGAGTCTTGCAGCTTCCATGGAGACTGTATGGAGACTGTGGGGGGTTATAATTGCACATGCTCTCCTGGTTTTCTGGGTCCTCGCTGTGCAGAAGGTGAGCAACATTGTCCGTAAGATAAGCAATGAAGTGCAATTATGTCAGTAATTACTGTGGAATCCACTATGAACAAACCAGGAAGGAAAATGTTCATTATCAAGTTTTAAAGGCTAAATCCGTAGATAAAGAGCACAGTATCCACATAGTCCAACACACAGTTTCTGTGTCTGCATTTAGCGGACGCATCTTTCCAAAGCACCTTACAAAGTAGACACAATTTTACAGTTATCATCAATATGACAATAAGCTCTCTAGAGGAAAATCTCTTGTCAGAATACGAGATTGTGTGAGGTTTTTTTTTTGCTATCCAAAGCTTGGACATAATTTTGTTGGGTATCAGTACCCACTAAACAAGATCATTTCACAGAAACAAAGTTTCAATGTTACCTGGTCATCATATGTTTCCCATATCTGATAAACAGCTTTAAAAAAAACTTTGTTACAAACTGAAAACAAAAACATGCATGAGTCTTTAAGTAGAAATAGACAATTACTAGCAGCCAAATTATGCTTTACACTTTACAATTAAATAAGAATCAATATGTTTATATTCTATGCGTGACATAATTGTGACCAAAACCGAATAATCAGTAGTAAGTAATATGTTTAGTTGCTAAAACAATAAAATCACTTTGAAAAACTTCATCTTCTCTCTTTGAGATTTTTCACATATATTTGATTTTTGAAAAAAGATTTCCAATTATATAAATAATTATTTACATGAAACAACAGCGGACATTGGACTCACCCTTGTCCTCTGTGTTATGGTACATGGTGACGAGATAACATTAATGTCAAACAATATTTAGTTTGGATGAAAAAGTTCCAAAGAAAATATGTTTTGTTATCTACAGTCGAACAGTGTCCTGCACTGGACCACACAGCCTTTAGCAGCGGTAGCATGAACTGCAGCCATCCCATTTCCACTCACGGCTACAGCTCCACCTGTGAGTTCAGGTGCAATGAGGGCTACAAGCTGATTGGACAGGACCGGACAATTTGCAACCACACTGGCCGGTGGACATCAAGTGTGCCAACATGCAGCGGTAAAGAAACATAACATTAAAATATGTTTGAAACTTTATATTTAGCTTTATGTGAAGGCTAGTTGCATGTTTCTTTTCCTCATTTGTATGTATAAAACTTGTATATAGATGGACAGCAACATTTTACAAATCAATAGCCATATCCATAGCTGCTCTGGGTATACAGTCACATCCTGTCTGGACCATTCAGCATATCCTGTCTGGACTATTCAGCATGTCAATCTCAGGGTACACCCAAGCCATCATTCTTTCACTTCACATTCTTTCATGTTTTCTTTGGAAATACAAAATAGTTCGGAATTGAACAGGGGTGCACATTTCTTGTTCTCGGTAGAATTGTTTATACCGCCCTTTCAGGTTCCAATAATGGATATTAAAGACGACCCGTTTCAGAGGAGCTTTGGTCAACACTGTGTGACCTTTGTGTGAGAAATATCTTTGTCTCATCACAGTGATAAAGTGCCCCACCATTTCCTCTCCTGTTGTGGGAAGCATGGCATGTGTGGACGCTGTGGAGCCTTTCTCTTTCGGCTCACAGTGTAACTTTACCTGCCAGAGGGGCTACTACACGAGTGAAGACAATATACTGACATGTTTGGCCTCTGGACACTGGGACAAACCTACACCTACATGTACAGGTAACACACAAGTTTATCTAAAATTTATTTAATTTTTTTTGGGTGGAGGGGAGGCAGCTGATGCTCTTTGAAATGTTAAAAGAAATGTGCTGAACTGTGGTGTCTCACTTTTAGTGGTACAATGTGACAGTCTAGAGGCTCCACTTCATGCCACTATTCAATGCCAGGACCCTCACGGGAAGTTCAGCTTTGGCTCAACATGCTCTGTGCGGTGTAACGAGGGATTTGATCGGATCGGAACAAATGTCACGATGTGTTCTTCACGTGGCATCTGGAGTAACGCACTTGCTGTATGCCAAGGTGTGACCCCACAAGACTTAGGACTCAAATGTAAACCAGAATAACTGCACTGAATCCAGATTAAACATTAAACCTTCATTTCTTTTCTAGTTATGTACGTTTTTAAATTGCTCGACAATTATGTCTGTGTAATAACTTGTCTCTCCCTATCCGTCTTTCTTTAAGCTAAGCGGTGTAGTTCAATCATTCATCTTCTTCATGGCTCCCTCTCCTGTTATGACCCAAATGGCCCCTTTAGTTTTGGTTCAAGGTGCTCAAAAACCTGTGATGAGGGTTTTATATTGCATGGGACAGCAGGCATTGAGTGCACCTCTCTGGGGGTTTGGAGCGCAGACATCCCTCACTGCATTGGTAAAGAAAATGCTAATGTTGTACATGTACATTTAATGGTGTAGATGGCATTTTTGTCTAACGTATTTTGTGTACCGCTTCATCTTTTTTTTCCTCTCCAGCTCAGAGATGCCCAGCCGTGCAATCACATCATCATGGCTCCATGTTCTGCTCTGATCCTCATGGAGAGTTCAGTTTTGCTTCTCGTTGCACAGTAGCCTGTGAGGATGGCTTTTTTCTGAACGGGACAGCTGACTTCGAGTGCACAAGTTCAGGCAAATGGAACGTCGACACCCCGGTTTGCTCAGGTAAACGCACAAAAATCTCATTCACAGTTTTAAAATGAGAACTTACTTTGATACTTTAAATGACATAGCTTTTGATCATTGCCACAAAACGCCTTTCTGTTTGTTTCCATCACAGCAAAGACGTGCCCAACTCTTAAATCTCCCCCTTACGGCTCTATAGTTTGTTCTGGTCCATATGGGGAGTTCAGTTTTGGTTCTCACTGCACAGCGACCTGTAAAGAGGGTTTTGTCCTCAATGGTCCAACTGACATTGAGTGCACGGCTGGAAGTTCATGGAACCCCAACATCCCGCAGTGCTTGGGTTGAGAAAATATTCAACATATTTAGCTACATCTTTAACGATTTTGTATTACCAAATTGGGCTTTTGAATTGCTTTCTCAATGTTTCCATTTTCAGCTAAAAGGTGTCCCACTCTCAGCTCTCCATCTCACGGGGTCTTGGTCTGTTCGGCGCCCAATGGAGAGTTCAGTTATGGCGCTCAGTGCTCTTCAGCCTGTGAGGAGGGCTTTCTCCTAACGGGGACAGCTGAAATGGAATGTACCTCTGCAGGCTCATGGAGCGGAGAAGCACCTCGTTGCCAGGGTAATAAATCCAAGGATGAGACAGCTCACATCATGTATCCCCTCCTGCTGTGCACCAATTAATATGACAATCAACACATGCCAATAATTTGTCATATATGGCGGCATTTTACAAAAAACACCCATTTTCATCACTCACATGGAAATTAAGACTAACCGTGGCTCATATAGTATGTTTCATATTATTGGCAGCATGTCAATGCCCCCTACAGGTTAGAGTCTCATAACTGCATCTGAACACCCCTTTCAGGTTTTGTGCACAACATGACTTTCACTGCATTAAAGGTTTCTGGCTAAAAGGAACATTTTAAATAATTTTAAATCGTTTTTGTGTTTTGTTTTTGTTTTTCAGCTGTGCAGTGTGAGGACTTGTATATTTTGTCCTTACCACTGTCCATGACTTGCTCTCATCCACTGGGGAAATTCAGCTTTGGATCTCAGTGTCTTTTCACTTGTGAAGACGGGTATTCCCTAAATGGCACTGCATTGTTGCTTTGTTCCTCCACTGGGCTTTGGAGTGATACCATGCCCAACTGCATAGGTACATTTGATATTATACCATACACAAGCATATAATGACCATATCCTAACCAGGTGTAAATATTAACCATTAAGAAATATGATTGTGTGTAATTGTGTGTAAGGCATATCAATGGGGACTATGTGGCTGTTGTACACTGGCTATGGAGCAGCTTCTGCTGTTGCAATACTTTGCCTGATTGGACTGGCCTTTGTGATAATGATGAAGTTTCAGAAAAGAGGTAAGAACAACTTTGATTTTACTGATCAACGCAACTGAGTGTAAATCTATTTCTAATTTTAGATCTTTGCAGGAAAAACTGCCATGCCCGATGATCCAAAATGGGGAGAAGAGAAGAATCTTACATCTGAATTTTGATTTTTTTCCATTTTTATTGGACCTTGTTTAAGGCTTGCTGCTCTTATTACAGCCAAAATAAAATGTGGGAGTTATCATGGTACTTCTCTGTTTTCAATTCATTGTTATAAGAGAATACAATTTGTGTATCTTACTTGAAGTCTGTGTGCAGCTGGAGCTTTGTACCGTGTCACAGATAAATGTGTGTACTTTTCCTTTTTGTTTAATCTTCTTTTAAATGGCTGACTCGATCATAGTTTTTTTTTTAAATCAATAATTTATTCACCATTCTTTTAACATTAACCTGGGACATACAGTAGAATGTAGAATGGCTCTTTCTTGCAAGTGACTCAACAGAAACTCTTGGAGGTCATGATTACACTTGAAAAGTACGCGGTCAAATGCAGAAAAAGCCGACAATCCTCTGTTTGACAATCTGCCATAAAGTGTCAGTTAAGCATATTTAATGACCAGGCAGCTCCTTTAGCAGGAGGGTGATCTATTATCAGTTACACTTGGTTTAAATTCAATACAGAACCGCCATGTGTTAGGCATTAACTTGTGTTATCATATCGTGAACTGATTGCCAACAGTATTAATTCATTTTTGTTTAAAAACTACAATTTCAGATGATAATTCATGTACATTTGCACCAGTATTAAACCCCACACATTGTTTTGTGTTGCAAAAGGACCTTTTGGCATATCTTCAGCAGAACATGCATCTGTCTTGGTGCTGCAACAGCATGAAGCCATAAAGCCAATTAAAGCAGTTAAAAAGAGGGTTTGTGGCTTGGCATGAGGGTTTCGGCAAATAACCGACTGCTGACGGTGGCCGTATTGAAGTACAATTGGATTGTTTCTGACCAAAGACTATGCAGACGGAAATAAGAATATGAGATGGGTACTGGGGAAGGGTCATGGCTGGAACAAGGAGGCACACAGTACAGTGGTGCTTCATATCTCTGTATCACCCTGGGCATATTTCCCTGACACAGCTTTCAACCCCGCCGTCTTATGGAGGCACCCGCTTTGGGTTTTCTCACCCTCCCATCCCAGAAGTTTTGCATTCCAGCTGGGCACAGTGCCTAAGAAGACTCTTGTCCCAAGTCTTCTTTGAATGAAGGGGGAAAAAAAGAAAAAAGCAGGCGAGACAATGTGAGCGTTTATGAAGGCAGTGTGGACGTAGTTTTTTACCGGTAGCTGACCTATGCGGCTGTCATGGCCCACCATTATACAATCTTACCATCCATCTAGATGCCATAGTGTTGTTTTAGTTCATGCACTCGTCCAGAGTACAGTTCTTAGAGGTTATAAAATGATTAGCTCACATTCACAGTTCACCATTCGAATTTTGAACTTGTTGAACATTCAGCTCAAGTGAGGATGAAATGCAGAAATTGCAAAAGAAAAAAAATAGTAATTAAATTAGTTATACCAGACTTAAGATCCTATTTTTTTAAATGGGCATGCACATAGAATAGATGTGCAGTTCATTATTAATTTGTAGACCTGTTGATTAGACTGATACATGTCGTTTGGGACCGATTGTCATAGATCTACAAACATTTTCCACACTTGACACTGTACTTTTGACCCCCTCCCCTCCCCCCATCTCTTTTATCACAGAAATGTTTAAATATTTTGCAGAAAGTACAAAAAGTTTGCCAACGACTAGGTATTCCCAGCCTCTCCATATGGTGGCCCTGAAGTGCAAACCACATAAACAAATCAATAGTCAAAACTACTATAAGTTTTTGTAGTTTGTAAATTTGCTCTGTTAATGTTGTTGTGTTTTTGTCAGATGTCGTAGTGTTTTGTATATGTTGTTGTGTTATTATACATTTTTAGTTGCGACTGTTGGCTCTCGAGCGCCCTCTGTCGGCGCTGGTCAGTAAATGCCACTGGATGTGGCATGATGTGAAATACCAGAAGTGGGTTAGTTGGTGCATTTTGTAAACATGGGAATTAGGTATATTTGTAATTACTGCTGAGACATGTTATGAGTAATTAATAGTATTTTTAGGTTTGGGTGTTGGTCAAAAAGTACCGGAGCTGAGATGGTTACACTGACTCGTCCTTATAAAAGGGAGCTATCGTCGTCTTAAAAGTCTCCAGAATTCGGCTTGAATTCGTCACTTGTGTAATTCATTAAGCACCTGATATTGCAGCGGAACTGTAGAGGAAAGAAATAACGTCGTGGGGCTAAAAGCATGGAAAAACTCTGATAATCAACGTCGTCAATGCCTAATGCATGAACCAAAGTCGAATTTCGGTATAGCCTATTGCTTATATCCTTAATCAATGTCTGTCGCATATCAATGACGTCAAAACATTCCACAAAACAAAACAGTGTATTCCTAAATTTGATATTCTACCAAAATTATTTGATGTGGTGTGCGTTCAGGCAAAGCATTTTAAAAAATCTTGTTAAACTACTTTGAAGTGACTTTTTTTACTCACCTTTTGTCTTGCCAATGTTGAAATTCTCTCCCCTGCAGCTGGGATCCAATTAAATGATCAAATATGCAAATGAGGTGATGAAGCAACTTTTGGGACAGTCAATGGCTAAGTTCTTACTGAGGTGTCCACAAAAGTCCTCGACTGTTTTTCTGTCGGACCTCAGGAAAACCACAAAAACTGAGTCGTGGAGACAGTTCTCTAAAAAATAAATAATAAAAAAATAGAAGAATTTATATATCGCAAGTCTCTATTCTTTTCAAAGAAAAGAATGTGTCAAATCATGTACATCATTATTAACCTGTCACCAAAATAGCACAGATAAACTCAGGAGGGACTGACTGAACTTAGCGGAATAACCCCATTGACAAATCAGCCTGTGCTGTCAAGTTTTTTTATTTGAATCACTTTTGAGTAATTACACCATACACACCTCATGAGAATAAATAGAAATACATACCAAAACAGATATTTACACAAAAAGATGCAGTTATATTTTGATCATTTTGAGAGGCCTGGCTATAATCATGCATGCACATTTGATTCACCTGGGAGAGCTTGTGCTGTACAGCGGGACTGCAAAGCAACAGACGCAGTAGTGGAATATAGTTTTGCAGAGGTGATTTTGTCATATTGCGTGGCATCACAGTGTCCCCATGTCCCTTTTTCATAGTTTAACATCCAATCACTTGACTACTTGAGCATTTTGGAGATAAAAGAGAGTGCATTGCAGAGTAAGAGGGATACACAGGCTCTCAAATGAATTCAAACTCCACCCTCAGGAGGTGAAGTATGAGTTCTGCATGGAGTACAGGCGGCCGATGGGAGTGAGGGGCGAGTCACTCAGCGAGAGGCATTCGCTGTCAGCCACATGATACAGAGTATTCCTTTCCATGTCTCCATATGAGCCCTTAAAATCTGAAAAAAATCCAAGTAAATTATCAAAATAATCAATAATCATTACTATATGCCATTCATATATTTCCCACACAATGTTTTAGTCATTCAAAATCGAGAGTAGAGCTGTGTTTTATGGAGGGAAGTCTGTGTATTTCAACCTTTGAAAAAATGTCAAAATCCTTGTAATGTTATCAAGAGAGAGATTTTTATCAAGAGAAATTAGATATTCAGTGGCTACGGAAAGTATTCAGACCTCTTTAAATTTTTCACTCTGTTTCATTGCAACCATTAGCTAAAATAAAAAAGTTCATTTTGTTTTTCATTAACGCACACTCAGCAACCCATCTTGACAGAAAATAAAGAAATGTAGAATATTTTTCAAATTTATTAAAAAAGAAAAACTGAAATATAAAATGGTCATAAGTATTCAGACCCTTTGCTGTGACACTATTTAACTCAAATGCTGCCCATTTGTTCTGATCCTCCTTGAGATGGTTCTGCTCCTTCATTGGAGTCCAGTTGTGTTTAATTAAACCTCTTGGACCTGATTAGGAAACGCACACACCTGTCTATATAAGACCTTACAGCTTGCAGTGAATGTCAGAGCAAACGAGAATCATGTGGTTGAAGGAACTGCCCAAGGAGCTCAGAGACATAATTGTGGCAAGGCACAGATCTGGCCATGGTCACAAAATAATTTCTTCAGCACTCAAGGCTCCTAAGAGCACAGTGGCCTCCATAATCCTTAAATAGCAAACGTTTGGGATGACCAGAACTCTTCGTAGACCTGACTGTCCATCCAAACTGAGTAATCGTGGGAGAAGATCCTTGGTGAGAGAGGTAAAGAAGAACCCAAAGATCACTGTGACTGAGCTCCAGAGATGCAGTAGGGAGATGGGAGAAAGTTCAACAAAGTCCGCAAAAGCCTGCATAGAGTTTTCGAAAAATACACGAAGGACTCCCAGACTCTGAGAAAAAATATTCTCTGGTCTGATGAGACCAAGATTGAACTTTTTGGCGTAATTCTAAAACCAGGCACTGCTCATCACCTGCCCAATACAATCCCAACAGTGAAACAGGGTGGTGGCAGCATCATGCTATGGGGGTGTTTTTCAACTGCAGGGACAGGACGACTGGTTGTTAATTGAAGGAAAGATGAATGCGACCAAGTACAGAGATATCCTGGAAGAAAACTTCTTCCAGAGTGCTCAGGACCTCAGACTGGGCCGAAAGTTCACCTTCCAACGAGACAATGATCCTAAGCACACAGATAAAAGAACAAAGGAGTTGCTTGGGAAAAACTCTGTGACGATTCTTGACTGGCCCAGCCAGAGCCCTGACCTAAACCCAATTGAGCATCTCTGGAGTGATCTGAAAATGGCTGGCCACCAACGCTCACCATCCAACTTGCCAGAACTGGAGAGGATCCCCAAATCCAGTTGTGAAAAACTAGATGCATCATTCCCAAGAAGACTCATGGCTGTGCAAGCTCAAAAGGGTGCTTCTAATCAATACTGAACAAAGGGTCTGAATATTTATGACGATGTGATATTTCAGTTTTTCTTTTTTAATACATTTTAAAAAATTCAACATTTTTGTTTTGTTTTGTCAAGATGGGGTGTTGAGAAGTTTATTGATTTTAGCAAATAGCTGCAATGAAACAAAGAGTGAACATTTAAAAGGGGTCTGAATCTTTTCCCACTGTATGGCATTTCTAAGCTTGACTTATGCTCATGATTGAAGTCATCTATTCCTCTTACTTTAACCCTGTAATGCCAAATGTATCATATTTGATACATACGGTTTCTGAAATGTTTTGCGTCTGACACCTTTTGCATAATTTAATGATAAAAACTTTGCTTAAAAAAACTATTTCACACAATCAGATACACCTGATAACAGGGGGCAGAAGACTACACAAAAAATAATCTTGATTTATCGCATAGTAATAAATTATTAATATTAAAATTGTATTTTTGTTTTTTCTTTTTACATATTTTGTTAAAAGGCCAAATAAGGAATTCAAACCAAAAAAAAGTAATTTTCTGTTTTGTTCAATTCTTGGATCAGGCTTTCAAGGGTTAAAGGAATCAGGCTTTAAAACATTTAAAACATTCAAAGCAGTAACAGAATGCAAATAAGCCAGAGGTCATCAGTTCATTTGTCCTTATTTCACAAAAATTTAACAAGAGAAAATTAAAAACAGCCTGACTGATGGACTGGTCTGAAGTCTTTTACCGTAAGGGTGCATGTGATCCCCTGGCATCTGAGGTGGGGTCAGGCCCTGTCTGAAGGGGTCCATGTCCCAGTCCTGCTGCTCTCGTGTGGCTAGTCCCGTCTCCTGCTGTGGTCGCTCCACATTGCCATACGTGTGCCTCATGTGCTTCATGTCAGGGATCAAACTACCACGGGAGGGTGCTGTGGAACACAGGACACATGCCGACGATGATCTTCAGCTCCGAACGCAGCGCTGCATTAAAAGCAGACGGGATTTTACCTTTCTGACCAGACGAGTGGTCACAGTGCTCCTGAGTCTGCTGCTGTTCCTGCTGCTGTCTCCTGGCCACTTTCTTTATCTAAACAACACGCATCATATGTAAAAAGTGGCGTGTATATAAGGGTTCAATGTAAAAAAAAAAAGGAAAAAAATGAAGAATCCGTCTGCCACCCAGGCATGCAAGTGTGGTCATTCAGTTGCAAAGTATAAACAGTGAAGTAAAGGGCATCTGTCAGCGGGGGACAGAAATCGAACAAGAGCCCACTTTGTGAGGAAGTATGGTTTTTAATCTACAATGATCTCTCTGTGGGATGTCATCAGCTTCCAGTATGAATAGATAACCGGGCTGATTTCCACTCTGGCTTACAAATACGGTGCAGAAAGAGGGATTTCAATAGCTGCATATGTGACCCTGTGTGAGTGTGTGTGCGTGTGTGTGTCCACATGCACGTGTTTGTGAGCGTGTGCACGGAAGAAGCATTACTTTAGCTCTTTGGTTCTGGAACCAGACCTGCACAACCCGGACACTCAGACCAGTCTCTGCAGCCAAGGTCTCTCTCACCTTGGATTAAGAATTACGAAAGTAGGAGAAAAAGCAGAAGGGGAGGTTTAGAAAAGTGAAATGAAAGAGAGAGATGGAGGGCAGTTTTTAAAAGTTTCTTGAAACTTATTTGATTTATTTTACTTACAATGATAATAGTAGTTTGTTGTAACTGCTAATTAAAAATTAAAAGTGCTAAGTAAAAGTTCATCCATTGTCATTCAAGCTAAAGGACCATTAGTTAAACGATCATTTTTATCAAAATAGCAGAAGGATTTTGGGTATGTTGCATAAGAATATTAAAATCTAGTCTTTACCTTTCGGCAGGGTTTGGATGAGACCTCAAAGGATGCTTTAAAAGTGCGTCTTTGTTGAGTAGTTAGAATGGTGCGAGGTCTTTTGGGGCGCTTACTCTCTCTTTCTACATCTGCTCTGCCACATTTGCCTGTGAGCCTCCCAGACTTGTCATCTTCTACTTCGTCATCATCATCGTCATCACTTTTACCTGGTGGGCCGACATGAATGGAGAAAAAAATAATGTAGAGAGACAAACCGATGCTCAGAAACAGTTTTCCAGCAAAGTAAAATCCCATTGGCTGGCTTGATTTTGGCCTTAGTTTGTGTTTAATTGCATTTCCTTTCAGCATCATAACAGAATCCCAGTCGGTCAAACAAGATACAAATTTATAACGTGCTAAAGAATACTATATTAAATATAATATAATTTTGTGTTTCTTAATAAATGTTCAATCCAATCAAATTGATCTAAATAAAGATCTAAAGACTTTCTTCATATTACCTGTAACTTAGTACAATACTTAAATATATTAATGAAAATGTACTTTGTCAGCGTATGTTTATTGAACTTTTTCAGTTTTACACAGAGAACATATGCTCAAAACGAAACAAAATAGATGGAAATTGAAAAATTAAATAAAATAAGAAAGAAATGCATCCACAGGAGTTTTGCAAAGGAACAAATAACACCTTATACAGTGTCAGAGTGCACTGTTGTTATAGATGTTATAAATGGGAGTCAAGGCCGGTCAGTGATCAAGTCAGTGTATATAGAATGTTTTCAGTTTTTAGGAGCCGTGAAGGCCTCGACATGCACCTCTAACAATGCGACAAACCATTTATAAACTTCCCTGCACACATAACTCCCCACCAGTCGATACTCACCTGTATCAGAAGAGGCGGAACAAGCCAGACACTGGTGGTAGCCCTCTCGGGCACATAGCAGTCGTCCGTCCCTGAGAATGCAGCGGTCTCCCGTCTGCAGGCGGCAGGAACAAATGCTGCAGGTGAAGCAGCGGAGGTGGAACACGGCGGCGCCCGCACGCATGACCAGCTCAGCGGGGGAGACGGCCTTCGCGCAGCCCCCACAATGCACTGCGAACAGACTGAAGATGGCAGCAGACAGACAGAGATCAGTCACACAAAAAATAGCTTTTGTTGTGTTTAGATACTTGACTCCTCACACCTCAGTAAAATGGGACATCATGAAGTCAGACCGGTTGACGGATTTGGGGGAACGTTGTGATTCGAGCTGTCACTGAAAATCAGTGCCAGTCTGACTTCTCCCCTTCCCTCCTCCTCTCCCCATTGACCAGACCACATACCCTCAGCATGTCTGGTGTTTATCTTAGTGCCTGGCAACCACAACTGGTGGGCTTAGACCCAGCGACTGTCGCGGTGGCTCTGACTGCCATGTCCAAGGCCGTCCTCCTGGAGAAGCAGGAGAAAAGCTCTCGGCAGGCCATGGCTCCAGGCGGGAGGGGGGGAACCAGATCTCCTAATGGGCGAGACTGAGCTACTGGTCCCAGGAATTATCTGTGGAATTATCTTTAAGTCTCCTTAACCACAGTTGGACAAAGACAGAGCTCCCCCCCAAGCAGCTGGACCATTGTCCTTTTCCTGGCACCATCACATTTAGGGTCTGTCACGCTGGATGATGCGTCATCGTTCGGGAGCTGCTGTTTGTCTCCAGGCCTGACTGGGTCACCAGAGAAGTCAACACAGAACCATGAGAAAGTGACAGCCTTTTCTTTTTCACCTGAAGACACTGCGGGGAGCTATATGTTCACAACTAATTTAAGCCTTTTCTTTGTCTAGGGGGCTACTGTGAAAAAGTCACAAGAGCACATTTTCTGTAGGAATGCAGCAATGAAGTTACAGAAAATGATAATAAACATCATACTGGCCAAAATGATTTAGGAAAAATACTCCCTTAAACTATATTGTCCATTTAAATGTTTCTTAACACCCATGTTGTCTTTGTTGTTTGAGTAACCTCTTTTTCTTATAGACAAATGTTTCTGTGCTATATTAAGTATTTTAACCATCCAAGAAAAAAGTAATTAGACTTAAGCATTCCATGATGATACCTAAATAATTGCATTTTACTTCTTTTTTAATTATCACACATTTAAATTAGACACACTTTGTACAAACAAACACAGCCCACAATTAAACACTAAACGAACACCCATGTGGAGTTATATTCCTGTTACATTGTCTGTAGGTGCAACATCCTACAACCAAACTTAGCTAAGACATGCTACTGGTACTTCCAGGTCACTGTGGAAACATTAAAGTCCATTCTCAGAATTTCATGAGTGCCGGCCGATCCGCTTGACCAATAACAGTCGTCTACCCCATGGCGTTATTGGTATGCTTCTTATATGGCAAGTATTCCTTCAGTAGTGTGCACACACTGCCATGGCAACATGGGATGCATCTACAAAATATTTCAAAGGGAGCGTGGACGAGGAAATTCTCGTAATATTCAAGAGTTGTCTGTAATACATCAAAGTGCTTCATTTGATGTTTCCGCATAATGCTAATGCTAGATGTCAGCAGAGGACAAACAAAGCATTAATGCTTTGAGATCATTCATGTTTCGAGAATCCAAGTTCCATTACATGTTTTGTCCCGTTCGCCCTATTAGCAAAAGGTCTCTTGAGAGATGTTAATGCAAAGGTAAGAGTAGCTCAGAATCTTAAGGAGCAACTCAAGGTGTTTAATATTTCAGAGTTTCCACTCTGAGTTTTGGCCAAGAAGCTCAGCTAGAGGAGTGGTAACACTCCGTCACGCTTAATTTGGACACTGACTGTAATGACGGGATCATTGTGGAGAAATAAGTCAGCAAAAAATCTTGCACTATTCCGTGATGATGTGGTGCAAATGTAGGACTGCATAGCGAGATGAGTGTTCGAGCAAAAGTGCACACATTAAAACAATGTAATATCAGGTTCACTGGGGGCTCTAAAATGGATCCTGAGAGGGAGTGTGAGTGTGCATTGTTATTAATTTCATTAATCTTTAGGTGGTCCCGTTATGGAATGGAAACCTGTCCAGGGTTTACCCCGTCTCTAGCCCAATAGCAGCTGGGATATGCTCGTTCCCCCACCAACCTTACTTGGAATTAGCAGGTATGGCAAATGGATGGGCAAAAATAATGACACGACAATGAAAATGGTTACAAATGGTTGTGACATTAGAGGACATGATAAAACACAGTTAGAACTTTTTTCTTAAAGCTCTAATTAGCATACTGTGCAACGTAAAGTAAAAACCTCTTAAACTATATTCATATGCTGTTTAGTAAACACTGTTTATCAATTAGGAGTTTGTATTAAATGTTATTATCATTAAATTCAGAAATTTGTAAAGGAAAAAAAATCTGCAGAACATAAAGACATTTTGATCTTCTGATCACATTTTCTTTGTGAATTGAATCCATATTTGATTTTTTTTTTTTTTGTTAGGTTTATTTCTTAATATGGTGGTCTTTCTTTCTATACAGTATTTGACAAACAGTTAAATGAGATGAAAACTATTTAAAATAATGTATTTTTGTGCTGGAGCTCCTCAAACAAGCCTCAGCATATAAGAACTCTAACTTTTCGAAACTGCTAGCATTGTTGTTTTGCCCGTAAAAGAGGCCAAGTGCAGAAGTCTGGCTGGCAGGTCACCACACAAGCAAGTGCACAACATAGTTTGTTTGGTGAGAAAAACAAATATCCTGGCACATTAAAAAAAGAAGTGTCACACTGTGTGCTATTGAGGGGTGTCAGGACCCACCCAGATGGGGAAGCAGGGGAAAAGGGGTAAAGGAGGGAAAAGGAGAATGGGCTCAGAGGCGGAGCCCTGGCAGAAGGCCTCCTACTAATTGGTCAAGTCAGATATCTCACGGTCGGCTGGGCGTCGTCCCATCGCTCAACCTGGGGGCTGCTATGGGCGGAGATTTCCAGATGCCACTGCACATAATGCCAGGGCTCATGGCGTGCACTGTCCCCTGAAATAAGTTCACACCATCCTCACCATGTCACTGGTAGGTACGCACCAGACCTTCTGACATATGGCTCTACTCTCTGAATATCCTCTCAGTCCTGTACTTTAGTTTGTGGCTAGATTGTGTCATTATTTCCACTGATCGTTTTAGCCTTAACAAGTTTTGAAATTGACAAGAATGAACTCAAATATCTTTGCATCTTTTAGAAAATAAAAATCAACATGCACAGGGCTCCAGAGTAATACATTTTACATTAAAAAAAGATGGCACTGTGTGAACTTTAACAAATCTTGGTTTCCTGCCATTGCTAAATTGTTCAGAAATAAGATGAGTTGTTGCCTTTTAGGACGTGTATTTTTTTTTCTTTTCTTGGCGCTTGTTATGGCAAGCAAATTTTTGGGGAAAAAAGAATGTAAAGAGGAGATGGTAAGCAATTAGGAGTTGTTGGGGGGGTGGATGCCATATGTTGTGCCCAGCTTGCAGTTGCCACGCCAGTGGGCCTCAGCATTTTAACACATTTTGACAATGTGTCAGTTGAGCCCTACCCCTGGTTGTGCGGGAAGGTGGGACAGTGTTATTATGTGTGTGGGTGTGAGAATGAAGACTATTCGATAGTTTACTGACATTCCAGCTCCCTTGCCACTCTTTCCTCCCACTGTCACCTTGATCCATCAGTGTAGTGTGCTAAATTACCTATAAATTAGGGTACACCACTCGGGCACATAAAGTTTAAACACAATAGTAGTAGTAATAAAAGTAGTCGAAAACGCATATAGAATTTAAAACTTTAACTGTGCATTGATATGTACAAAGCCAATTCTGTGTGTCTTTTAGTCCCTCTAACGCACACAAGTAGGCCTTACACGCAACCTTTCCCAAGGTCAGACTTGGACAAGACGTCTGTTGTTAAAAATGTATTAAAATAGATTTTTTTTAAACGACACAAATATTTTTCCTAACAAATCCCAAATGTACAAATAAATGACAGGGATTCAAGAAAAAAGTAAATGTAGGCAAGTTCAAACATGGACTGTAACATGGACTGAATAGAATTTGAGTTCACCTGCTAAAATAGAAAATAATTTCTATTTATATTTCCTAAAATGTTACAAAGGTATCTATCGAATCGTTTATGGGATGTTAGTTCTAAACAGTTATAGAGAGTTGGACGTGCACTCACTGGGTGTAGTCCCTCTTGCAGTAAAGTTTGCGGTCCCTCTGGAAGCAGGAGTTCCTGAGCGCGTCCCCGCACGCTGCGCACCGGACGCACTCCTCATGCCAGAGGCCGTCGTTGACTCTGAGCAGGAATCTGTCTCGTATCGGCTGATGGCATCCAGCACACACTGCCATCCGATCCACATTTGGGGGAAATGATTTATTTGCCTATATACTCAAATATTTGCCCCATATTTGGTTTGTCAGCTCCGTAAAAAAACATGCGTCAAAGGTGAATTACTGCTTTGTATTTGACATTTAGACTGCCCATAGCTTTGACTGCTGAAGAACTGCAAGTATTTATACTTAAAACGTGTTTCCAAATGTGAGAAAGTCAAATATAAGCACGCATTTTCACTCACCGAAAGATGTTGCTGGAATATCCATTGCAGCGCCCTGCAAAAAAAAAAAACAAGAATTATATCTTCAAGAAAGTTAACGCATAGTTTACAGATGCAGAATATCTTTTTCCTTTGTTAAAACACTTACTGGTGAAATTCTGACAACAACCAGAAAAAAAAAGTATGATGTTTTCTGTGTTTTCTCAGAGCATCTCCGGCACTCCAAGTCGTGCCCCAAGTTGCTGCAGGGATAAGCGCAGCGCGTAAAAGTTTTTCTTTTTTCTTCCGACCAACTCTCGAGCACGCTTACGGATTACGCGCGCTGGCCAATTATCATGCCTCAATTATCCCGGACTGAAAGGAAAAAGACCCGGAGAGACTTCCTTTATGTGCAGGTGCAAGTTACCTCTCTCTCACCCCCCCCCCCCCCC